GACACCTGAAACTTGTCTCTGTCCTGATTTTCCATTTTGCTCACTACACTTCCTCTGTGCATGTTTTTTCTTTCCAGTTTGTGGTATGAGGGTCAGTATGAAAGTAATGCCTCTTAAATTTTTTCTCCGGACTCAGGCATGGGAGACTGGCAAAAAAATCCTAGATAAAGATATATATTTGCTGTTGTTGTTCCCTCAGTTTTCCAGGAAGATATCAGTTGGAAAAACCACTGCACCCATTCAAAATGGCTGCTTCCCTTGATGCATGTACAAAGCAGATTGCTATAGAATTACTGACTGCAGAGGGAAAACACTCATAGGCGACTGGAAGATGCTAATGAGACCTCTACCATTGATATGAGCATAGTGAAAGGGTGGGCAAACAGGGTCAAGTGTGGAGAAATTGGCTTGAAAGACAAGCCACACAGCAGTCGCCATATTTACAGATTTTTACAGGGACGGAATACTTGCCCTTCTTGTGCACTAGGAAGTCTGTTGAATGTGATGGGAACTACATGGAAAAATAGCCATATATCTTGATCTTGATCTATTTTCCAGCCGAATTTCATTATTTTTGCTTGAAAGGTTATAAAAAAATAGTCTGCAGGCATTACTTTCGTACCAACCCTCATATATGTATCATCTGCTTCTTCTTGAGCAAGTTGAAAATTTTTCTGGAAGTCTTTTGAAACTCCTGTGAAGATATGATCTATCTGTGGATTTGGCTCTGAGGCATTGCTTCACTCAACACAACAATATTATAGTAATTATTCTGATAGAGGTGGTGACCTTTATCCAATAACTTATCTCCAAACAAATCAAACACTGAATCGTTGATTGGCTTTGACTCACACAGAAAGACCTTTACTTCAAACCTATCTGGCTTATTTGGCACATATCTTGAATGACAGATGATGACCTTGCAGTGCCATGATTCCTTCATCAATTAAAATTTTTTTCTCAGTATTTGGTTGATCAGAAAGCATTCATGAGCATATCAACCTTATAAAGTTTGTCTTCTTAATCAGCAGGCTGAGTCTCATTGTCAACAATATGTAATGATTTTGCAATTGCTGAAATCTGCACAGAGTCATGTGTTTCCCATACTGTGGTATATGAACATTCTCTTGTTGCCTATTAATTTGCAATTGCAGGCCTTTCTTCAATACCTGTCATGAAGCTAAGTAGGCCCACATCTCTTGTCTTTTCACTTTCATAATGTTGTGGTACCTGGATTTGAGAGGCTATTCATTTGACTAAAGAAAATGCACTGCATATTTGCTTGTTTTAGTAACTCTTTAGTAATATCAACCAACTCATCACTAATAAAAGGTTTCAACCAAACTATAGGTTTGCCACTTTCAAAAGAAGTACTTATTTGGAGGCCTGGTTTTGTCAGAAGTTATTGATATGTGGAACAAAATCAGTCTGTGGCCATGCTGCAGTGGGTGTAGCCATTGTTGCTGTCACTGTAGACTGCATTTCATGCATTCCCGGGTTATCTATTTTCGACTTTCGGAGTAAGTGCATTTCTCATTCTCGTGATGGAATGATGACACTCAACACTTAATTTCAGTTTGGAATTCGCAACATGTTCAATGAGACAATACTTAACATTCAAGTGTAGCAAATGTAGATTGTTTGACTGCAAGATAAGGGATTAAAGAAGTCTCCTGCAGCAGTGCAAAACAAAATAAAACTTCTCAAAAAAGAGTTACCATGAAATTTTTTATAAAACCAAACAAGAAAGTACTGAACAAGATGAGTGTTATGATGCATGGCAAGCTGAGCAGGACAGGAATGACTGAACAGTCCTCCCCATTCCTGGGAATTTGTGCCCTGTGGCTAGGATTAAGACCTTTCCACTCCCTTGGTATATTTTTGTGCCTGAACACTTCCATCCTTCCCAGTATGCCAGGCAAGCTGGGTTTTTCATGTGTCTGAACGAGGCTTATGTCACATGGTTCAGGCTCAAATTCATTGGCAGGAATAATATCCATGTCACTGACACTATCTGCTGCAAGCTCCTCTTCCATTGTACTATGATTGAACTTTTTGACATGCTTTTACTTCATAAGTACAAGCAGATTTCTTGCCTCCCTTTCTGGCATGCAATCTTGTCTTTCTCCATGAGTTCAAGGATGTCTGAGGATTTGTAGCATTTTTACCTTGAACAAATGTGCTGTTATATTTCTAGAGAGGCAGTGAAGTATATCCAGGAAAACTTGACAGCTAATGTTGATGTCCTTGGTCGTGAGTGCTTTATTAATGCTGCCAAGACAAGCATGTCCAGCAAGTTGATTGGAGCGTATCCTTTTCTGTTTTTCAATTAATTCATGATTGTTTTAAAGTATGGTGTGTTTCCTACTTCTGAGAGGCATTACTTTGAATGAACTAAGTTCACACTGATTGGAACTCAGTGGGACTAGCTAAAATGACTGAGGTGAAAGAGGTAATGATACCTTAACTTATAGCACAGTGATGCAAATTTCTTTGCGGAGATGGTGGTGGATGCAGCTGAAGCAGTTAAGGTGTCTGATGGGAAAGGGTCATTCAAATATCCTATAAAGGCTGTGAATGTACTTAAAGCACATGGCAAAAGTGCCAGGGAAAGCATTCTGGTGAATGGTTATGCCATCAACTGCACTGTTGCATCCCAGGGTGAGCATTATGATCATAAACCTCATACTGTAGTGTCATAGTCCTAATAAGTGATATCATCAGTCCAGCATTGTATTCCCTTTCTCAGCAATGGTGAAGAAGGTCACAAATGCCAAGATAGCATGCTTGGACTTTTCTCTCCAGAAAGCCAAAATGAAACTTGGAGTGCAGGCAAGTGTTGTATACTGAGTCTTCTCTGAGCTGAGTCTTGATTGTCATAAAATCTTTCCTCTTCCAATTGTCTTTTAGGTGTTAGTGAGTGACCCTGAAAAATTGGAAGCAATTCGTGATCGAGAATCCCACATCACTAAGGAAAGAATAGAAAAGATTCTTGCATCTGGTGCAAATGTTATCCTCACAACTGGGGGCATTGATGATCTCTGCTTGAAGGTCTGTCAAAATAATAAATTGTTGATCAGGATGAAAAGAATGGTTGTGTAAGTGGTTATTTGGCATGGATATATTTGGCAGTATTTTGTGGAGAATGGTGCAATGGCAGTGAGGCGATGCAAGAAAGTGGACCTGAAGAGGATTGCCAAGGCAACTGGGGCAACACTCTTGGCTTCACTTGCCAACCTTGAAGGCGAGGAAAGCTTTGAGGCATCTTCCTTGGGTGAAGCAGCTGAGGTCATTCAGGAGCGTATCTGTGATGATGAACTCATTCTGATTAAAGGGTATTTTTGAGCTGCCAATTATAGAAAGATTGGGCTGAGTTATTATGGGTTTTCTATGACAAATTCTTTACTGATTCCCTTCTAGGACTAAGGCACGGACAGCCAGTTCCATCATTTTACGTGGTCCCAATGATTTTTATTGTGACGAAATGGAGCGTTCAGTCCATGATGCCCTGTGCGTGGTGAAGAGGGTCATGGAAAGCAAGACGGTTGTGGCTGGAGGTGGTGCTGTTGAATCTGCACTGTCCATCTATTTGGAGAACTTTGCCACTTCTCTTGTATGTTTATCATCTTCTTCCTTTGAGAAAACTTGATCAGAAGCATGCAAGTACCTTTTTCTTTCAGAGCTCCCGGGAACAGCTGGCAATTGCCGAGTTTGCACGTTCCCTTTTGATCATTCCCAAGACCTTAGCTGTGAATGCTGCTCAGGATGCCACAGATCTTGTGGCCAAGTTAAGGGCATATCATAATGCATCACAAACAAAGCCAGAGAAGGCTAATCTGAAATGGTGAGTCCTTTCTTCATCCATCTCTATATTTTCTGACTCTCTGACGATTCTTTGACCATCATCTCCTGGTGTTATACCCAAGGTTTGGGCTGGACCTGCTGGAAGGAGTTGTGCGAGACAACAAGAAAGCTGGTGTCCTGGAACCCACCATCTCAAAGATCAAATCGCTAAAGTTTGCCACAGAAGCTGCCATCACGATCCTTCGCATTGATGATATGATAAAGTTGGACCCTGAGCCTGGTGAAGAGAAGTCATATCCTGGCCATGGTGGCATGGATGATTAAGAGTGCAGTTCATACCTGGAAATGCTTAATTTCGTTTTTCTTCATTTACTACCATTCAATCCGAGAGAAACGTGTAATTGAGAGCTTTGCCATTGGAATAATAAAATTCTCTTTTTTCCATATTTTCATGACTGCTTATTCATTGTTTAATTTGTTTAATTGATATGTGAGATATCCAAACCCCCACTTGCAATGTAAATGTGGTATTCTGCATTTCTACATCTATTAGTTCATTAGCTCTCCATTGAGGGCAATAATGGCTAGAATGATGAGATCTCTAGTCCCATGGTTCATTCTCCCCATTAATCTAGTCTTGCTAGCAGAAGAGATGATGGGATGTAAAGAGTGTTCCCGATTCCCTTTCACTACTCACCCTGAATGTTAGACAGGAAGCAAAAATCTCCCTTTTTTTTATCCCCCCCCCCCCCTTTCGTGGAATCGGGTACTGAGAATTTCCCTTGTCATTGAGGCACTTCAATCACAGCATTCATCTACCTTTTCCTCAGTCTCATCCATATTTGTTATTGGATCCTACCAAGTTTCTGACCTCCACTCCGTCAAGGGAAAACATTCTTTGCATGATCTGGCGAGCAAAGTTTTTTATGAATAAAAATATGGGGGATTTATTCGATGTGATTGGTGGATAGAACTGTAAAGAGATCCCCTTTCGCAATGGGATAAAATAAGGAACAATGCGAACTGTGTACGTTTGAGATGCAGTTTTCTTTCCAAGGAGAAATGTGAGTGGTCATTCTCTAATTTTCGATGATCCGGAAAAATGCGCCGCTCCCCTCATGTTCAGATTAAAGTGGGTTCACAGAATCAAGTTCCGCTTCATGAGCAAATGTTTTTTCGCTGCGCTTGGAATGCTACATCCTCGATTTGATTTTTTTCTTGAGGCAGGGATTGAGAGAAACGGAAGTTGTGGCCATTTACGCGAGCGTACGTCTTGCGGGCGTTGCGAAAAATCCTCTTCGCCCAAATTTAGTCTCCTTTCATCGTTCAAGAAAAAGTGGGATGGGGAACCGGGAAGAAGAGAAACGAGGTTGTGAGGTAGTCCAAATCGAAGAGAACGTTGGAGTGGTTCTCTGATTTTCATTTAGAACAGTAGCGGTTAAACTTTTTAACACGTTGACGACCAGCCTATTTTTGCTTGTCCGCCGCGTGGGACCACGCGCATTTTTTTGGTCAAAAAATGCGTCCTGCCA